TTAATGTTTTATTAAGTATATTGTAATAAATATTTTGTTGTTAGTTATATTATTTACTTTTAAGGAAATCATGCTAATATTTCATATATATTTCAATCACTGCAGATACTAAGTATCAATGTCTGCAATTAATTTTTGATCAATGTAAAGGTCGAAGAGATTCTATTGCACAAAGTTTTCTTTGAATTGCTCTTAATAATCGTTTACAATATAAAAAACCAATCAATCAATTAAATTCCAATAAAAAAAAATTAGAATTTAATATGCATTTGATTTCATTTGATTTAATTTTGCATGCAACTTAGACCCTGAAAACTTGTTGAGTAAATATTTTTTCATTTCAATTGTTTACAATTGCCATTTTTTTCATAAGCTATCAATTAAGCTGTAATCCATAAACTAACAGATAAAATTGTATATAAATTTGAAAATATTTACAATAATGTAGATTCAAACTTACAAATTAAAATGTACATATGATTTTTTTTTTTTATTGCAAATTTTGTATTGTTACAATTTAAGAACATTAAACAATTCAGTTTGATGTAACCAAATCAGATTCATAAAACCAATGGGCTTAAATTTATTAAAGTGTAACAATGACAACTGAGGTATTATTTTTTCGTTACAAGAACGCCTTCCGCATCCCTGAGCGGGCATGAAAAATAGATGGGCTCATATTTCAATCACGTTTCAGTGTTGTTTTCACACAACAAACATCCAGGCAGAAACGTGAACTACACCGACAGATAAGCCATAGCTTTTGAATACGAGAACATAAACCCACGTCTTGACATATTGACTGACAACACTACATAATTTTTTTTTATTTTTGTCCTTTATTTGTTTATTTACTCATTTGAAAATTTATTGTATTTTTTTCTTTTATATAAATTGTAGCTTCATTGGATCGGCCTAAAACTGAAATGTCCAAAGCAGAGTTTGCTGCTATGTTGGAAAAACAACACCTTAAGGAATGCGAAGAAAATGATTACATGATGTTAGAAGGACTTTTTCAAGCGCGTGCTTCCATTGACAACACTAATGGCTCATTTGAGGTAAGTGCAAATTTATACTTATGTTTTGTAACTAATAAGAAAGTTGTTCCAAAATATTTGCTTATAATATATACACCCACAAACACAACATAATAAATAACTACTAATAAAATTACCAAAACTGTCCGTGAGCTTGTCATCTGATACTGAAACAGACATGAATCAGTATCTCATCAAATAAGTATCTTAAAACAAACATAATAGCAAAAAACATAACAAAATCATATACCAATAGAAAAAAAAAAAAAACAATGTCTAAAATTTTTGCCGTGATAGATCACACATAATATCTTTTCTACTGACATGTGAATATCTCAGTTACCGTTAATGAACCACAAAAAATGTGTCAAAATAGTTAATTAAGTATAAAAATTGCATGAAGTCAAAAGTCTTGCAGAAGATATGTCAGTGACATAATTAGTAATTTTAAAGGCAACCCGATATTGAGATAAGATACTTGCAAAGATTTATTTCTGCTTTGATAATTAACAATTAGAGTTTACTTAGTTAAAGAACAGCAGATATAACTTATATGATAATATTGAAAAGCTTTTTGGTATAAAAACAATTAAATATGGTAGAAATTGTAAAACAATTTTTGACGTTTAAATATTTGTATATTTTATATACTCATACGAATACATTAATTATTTCATCTGGAAAATTATTTTAATATTATAATAATAAAAAAAAAAATTTAAATATATTTTTTACATATTTCAAAAAAAAAATATGGTAAATAAATATGACTGTATGAATAAATTTTATTTTTTATATTATTAATAATTTAATTTTTGATTAAGTTTGAAAATTAAAAATTTACAATATATTATTTTTTTTATTCCTATTTTTGGCTAACTGTTTAACACTTCAAACAGGGACCGAAAATAGTAGTTATTTCATAATTTTTTATGAAAAAACGCAGCAACAAAAAGTTGTCTAAACTCATATTTAAATATATAGTTATCATTCTAACAACTTTTATCCTTAATATTATGCATGCTTTTTATATATATGAACATTTTAAAATAAAACTCAAAAAATAATAATTAAATTTGCTTTATATTATATTCCTCAAAAATAATTATTTTATGTGCCTTTTATTTATTTGCGCAGAAGTAACTTTTAAAATACTGCTTTTTATTTTAAAACGCACAAATAACTGTTACTTGTGCGTTATAAATATAAAAATCATGAATAACTGGCACTGGCTGCCGAATATATTTAAAACGAAAATACAAAATGCATTTTTCATACAGGGTAGTTGTTTTTGTAATTATAATATAAATATAATATAAAGCATTTATTATTTTTTGAGTTTTATTTTAAAATGCGAATGATAATAGTTAAAAGGTGATTTTTTTGTTTATGATGACTGTTACGGTCCCTGGTTTTGAATATTATCAAATATCTATAATCATTGAACCTTGCATATATTTATTGGTTTAATTGTTCATATAAATATAATATGACACTGCAAATACCACTGCAAATAAAATAAAGGATTTTAATCGTTATTGATAAAATATTTTAAAATAACCAATAAGTTTTCATTATACATAGCAAAAATATATTTTTTGTAAATATTATATATACTAATATACCAGTCATTTTTCATTTAGCAATTAGTTTCTTTGCTATAATGGGCCTTAAAACAAAATTTAATCATTTTAATTTCATAATTAATAAAAAAAAGTACCTTTTAAACTATAAAAAATACAATAACAAAGGTTGATTTCACAGTCGTTTCAAGTCTACCTCAAGCCATACTTAAATCATAAACTTTACCGATTTAAATTAGAATTAAGTCAGTTTTAAGACTTAACTTACTGAGTAAAATGGGCACTAAAAGTCTTTACTTCTTCAAATAAAGTATAGAATTCTTAATTTATTTACAAAAAGTTTCCAACAACTAACAAAAAATTAATAGAATATCTGACAGCTTACTTTTTTACTTATTTGACCCACCCATTTGACTTACAACTCCTTTTTGATTATCGAGTTGACTTAATGCTTTTTTGCGACTACTGTTGCCTTCTTCAGTTATCGGATTACTAAGACGACTTTTTTCTCCAACTGCCAGCTATCTGCCAGACTTTTTCTCCAAGCCAGCTATAATATTAATTTTTGTGAAACAAAAAGGAAATTAAAACTAGAAAGGAACCATATATAATAATTGTTATATAAATAAGTTTTTGGAAAATAAATATATAAAAAATACTTAATTTCAATTTCTGGTCAGTAATTACAAAGTGTCACATGCATCCATGAAACATATACCTTCTGCTCAAAAAGTACTCGGATTTTGTAAATAAAACACAAATTTAAATTTTATTCCATATTTATTTTATCTCCTTCAAAATATGCTCCTTCTGAAGCGATACACATATGCCAACGCTTAACCCAATCTTCCATACACTTTTCGTAGGCCCGTGAATGTATAGCTTTTAGTTCCTTCAGCGAATTCTCTTTTACCGATTCAATCGACTGAAAACGCTTACCACGAAGGGACAATTTGAGTTTCGGGGACAGGAAAAAGTCGCACGGATCCAGATCTGACGAATATGGTGTCTGAGCGATGACAATGGTGCCGTGCTTGGTCAAAAAATCGCGTACAACAAGAATTTTCCATAACAAAAATCACTAAATCCACTTGAGACAGTTTCATATTAACAGCTGCTGTAAACAAACTAATTGACAGATGGCGTTCAAATTTGTACTATATGTCAAGAAAGGGTGTACCAACATACCAAAAAAAAATTTGATAAAAGTCTTTTACTTAAAGAGTAGTTAACAAACAACAAAATCCGGGTACTTTTTGAGCAGAAGGTATATTAAAATAGGCCAGTTGGTTTAAGTATATCCCATTCCAGCGCCCTTTCACTTATTAGGTTAATAATTATCATTAATTTTTCGATTTAATAAGCACATTATCTCAAATCGAGTTTTATTGAAAAATATAAATCAACAATAATGAGTTCAAATAGAAATTACTCATTAGCACCAGTACTACTTCTGTGGATAAATAGCAACCGCAAAACTTCACTAATTGCTTTCATTAACCTCAGGTAATTGAACAATAAAATTTTGGTCGCCGAGCTATCACCGCCGTTTGTGGTCACTGCGGTGTAATCATTTTATGTCAAGCCACCACATTTTCCGATGGATGAAAAAATATTTTGTTTGTTTTTGCAAACTGAATGCTATCATGAACGCCTGAAAATATTGGTTTAAAAAATGCCACTTAAATTCATTTCCATCTTCAAGCACTTGCAGGAAAAACAGTTTTTGGAAAAATAATAGTAGATATTTTCACAATAGTATTGAATAACAAAATAATATTCGGTAAAGTTTATTTTCATTTTTTGTTATTTTTTAATATTCGGAACGAATATTAACTATCAAAATTCGTTATTGTGATTTTGATCAAATTTACATACATTCACCGACGTCAATTCAAAGTCAATAACTGCATTCACGGTCCCATATTTTATACGAGTACGAGTAGTTGCAAAAAGAAAATATTTGAAAAGTTTCTACCTTTACGATTCTCTGATAAAAGTGCAATCAATTCTAATTTCATGATATTCAACGGAAGGAAGTCTTGAAATAATTTTCAATAAAAACAAACTGGGTTCACTAAAAGTTGAGATGCAATTTTTTAAATTGATTTAAGAAACTTACACTAGACTAAACATTTTCATAAGATTTATGTTTAATATAAAAAAGATACCTGAAAAACAGTTTATAGTCTGCAGTTAGTTGCATTTGGTGAAAAGTTGTTATGAATCGATTTAAACATTAAATTTTCTTGAAAAAGTTTATTGAAATCAGTGTCCAAATTTTATTGAATTTTACTGAATTTTTTATTATTAATTCTTTTTTTTTTTTGCGTCTCAGATATATCTTTCAAATTCAATACCCTATACACATTATTTATATTTTTTTTCCTTAGACAAATATTATTCATATAATACAGTTTATTTAATCTTGTTATAGTAGACTGTAATATATGAAAAAAATTGTCAATAAGCAGTTCGAAAACCATAGTTAAAACACAATACTCCCGATTGATTGATTTTTATATATTAACAGTTCCTCTATTTCTTCAAACCATTCAAATAATATAATTTGTCTAATGGTAAATCAAGTTTTTCAATTAGTTTTTTTTTTCAAATTGAACAAATCTTTTTACTATAGTCATTATTGTGTTTTTCAGGCGGAGATAATCGCTATTAGGAAAGCTATAACTTATCTAATAGTGGATAATGTGTTTTATAGATATATATTCATACTATCATATAGTAAAACTGCTTCAAAATCCTTAAATTCAGTCCAATTTCCATCCAGAACAGGTTTTGACTGCTACACATCTCTGAACGAAATGTCGACGCAGTTCAAAATTTCTCTAATCAACATTCCCGATTATAGAGTTATTTTCGGCAAATGCCAAGTGTATGAACTAGCCAGACGGGGTGTTTTAAAAAATCAGTCGGATCATCTTAATAATCTGCACATATCGCTGTCATCATTCACTCTGTTACTAATTTCTCTCTGTGCTGAACTTTTTTTATAAAAGATAGAAAAATTGAACGATAATTAGCTATTGGTACACAATTTGACAACGTTCTGTTAAAAATAAATTTAATACTCTTATTGAGATGCGCCGTAGAGATATCAGTCTTGTGATAGGTTTACTCACAGTTCATTGTAGATTAGAAAACCATACTAAATGATGAAATCTCCATTGTAATTATATCTGTCGCAGTTGTAGAGAGGACGATAAGAGTGCATTTCATCTGTTTTGTTCCTGCTCGGCACATGTGCTATGTTGTCTTACTAATCTAGGGTCCTCCTTTTTTGAGGATCTTGGTTAACTGCAAGACCCTCTATTAAAAAGTATTCAAAGCTTTGCTAAGATTATTTATTCAGGATTAGTTGATTAAATCCTAAAGAGAATACAAAACGAAAAGAAGGTACATTATACTCTTATCACTAGACAAAGCATTGCTTATAAAGCCGCCTGCATGAAGGTGACGCAAAAGAATATGCTAACCCGCTAAATTTTTCTCTTATTCATCCAATTAAAAATATTTCATCAATTTAATTTTTATAATAATCATTAAAATTCAAATGCTTACTAATAGTTAACTGCTAGTTACTTGAATCATTTGGATAACTAAACCAATAGAAAGTTCCAAAGACTATTGTCGATGAATATTTGGCGATAAAGCTATATCCGCAACCCAATAATTCACACTATAGAAATTTTATTGGATTTGAAAGTTTTTTCAATATTGTCCTGTTAAGTTTTTAAATAGATATCTTATTATAGGAAAAAAATATTTTTATTTTCTATGAGAATACTAATTTATATACATTATACAAACGTTTTTGCTATTAACACTCCATGATATTACATTTCTCTTCCTTCATTTTTATTTTGCATAATTGTAAATATTTTACTTATATATTTTTGGCATAATCTCCAAACCTATTTTTTATTTCAAAATCACATTGTTTATTTCGCCACCATTAAGATATTTTGTTAAAATCTTTCTTCATTTGTTCCTTCTCTTAGTATTGTAACTTAATTACATGTACATTTGTCTAATTATGACTTCTATTTTCTTGATTTTCAGACCGGTATATCCATTGACTACAGCCACCGTTATCCGTTGCGCCGCGAGACCGCTATTGAGCTATCACCCTCTAAGCCATCGGCAGAGGGTGATGTTATAGGTTGTTCAGGTAGTAGCGACACAAGCGGGGCAGGTAGCGCTGGATATACCTGTACGGCAGCCACAATAACTACGGGTCAAAGTGGTTTCGAAATACGAAACGAAAGACCCTGGCATCGAAACTCATCAATGGAACAACAACAATCATATCAATCACCAGTGGTACCAACACGTGCCACAAGTGAATTCCTTAATGCACCATACGAAAGCTCACATCGGCTATTTAAAAAATCAAGTGAAAGCTTACAAAAGAATTCAAGCACAGAAACTGATTATTCTGCACATCCATATCGTTTCATCAAACAAAGCTCAAATGATACAACAACATCGATGACTGGTTCCTATAATATCGATAATATATCGCTGGCACCTGAACTTTCTTTAGATGCCGGCGATTCACCATCACAAATGCAAAGTCAAACAACAGTACCAACTGTTGTGGAAACTATCGCTGTTAGTACAACGCGTGCAGCTGGTGGCACTAGCAGTAGTGGTTATGCTAGTGGTGTCGTTAGCACTTCAGGACGTTATCAACCGATACGTACATCATCCGTTGGTGCTGCTGATCTCAGACGCCGACGCGGTGAATGTACAAGTTCCTTAGATATCGGGACTTCGGCGATAATGTCACAAGTGCAGCCACCACCACCACGTGCACTGCAATTGAAGAAACAGTTTAGCTTGGATCAAGGTAAGCAGCAACAAACACCAACTGCTACACATGCAGATACAAGTAGTTCAAGTGCTGCTATAACAAAGCCTACACCAGCCAAACTAAGTTCCTCACTCAAACCACCACCACCGGCTGGTAAATTGGGTCTTAATGTGCTTAACGAAAGCAGTTCCAGCACAGAAGAATCAAAAGATGGTGACCTGACTGGTGCAGCTGGTGGTTTGTTGACTATACCACAGATAAGTACGCATAATGTACAAGATGAAATAGCCAAATTATCATTAAATATAAAGAGTAGCACTGAATCCGAGAAGGATCCACCGTACAATGAGACAATGTGCTAAACAGCATTGCCGTGGCAAACTTAGATGAAATACTAGAGCTCAATAGAATTTTTGTTTTTATAAATGTTTTGAAATGTAAATAAATGTTAATGCGTGTGTGTGTGTTTGTTGCTATATAAAATTTTTTTCGATTTTAATGCCATTTTTTTTAAAATTAGTGTGTAGTTTAAGCATAGTTTTTTTATATAATGTTTAGATACTTTTATAAATGAATTTTTTTAGTATTGCGATTAGAAAATTAAAAAAAAATATTCATTCATTAAAATCCATCGGCTTTTTTTTAATAATCTTTCATCGTAGTTTAGAACTCTTGATTGTTTAGCAAAGAATATAAAACATTTTATTATAAATATATATTGAAAAATATAGTATAATTTAAATATGCTTAAAATATATATATTTTTTTAAATTGAAGAAAAAATTAATATTTTATAATTAATTTAAAATATTCAAGCCACCGCAATACTTTCTCTGTTATCACGAAACAAATTAATGAAATTTGAATTGAATATGTCAAAAAAAAATAAATTATAATAGAGTAAAAACTCTCTTATTAAGCAAAAGTCCATTCAAAAAGAGTACCCGGACAAATAGAGTTAAGTTGTTTGAAATATTGAAAAAAAAAGTTGGTCTTAAAAAAATGTTCACCACATAGGAGAGTTTTAACTATAATCTTTTAATATAGAACTAACCTAGTTCTTTTTACTATTTGTTTAGATAAAAAATATAAAAATATTTTTTTTCTAATGGAAATTTAACATAACGACTTAATTTGAATTTGTTAATAGAACTTAATTAATTAATTAATTAATTTCGATACAGAATTTTTAAAATTTATTCAACTCTTTTATTTGATACAGATTTTTTGTCATATGTTATAAAAATTTTAATTATAAATTTTAGTATTTATTCATAAATTTATTTACTTAACAAAAAATATGTGATTAATGTGATTTTTTTGTTTATTTGATACTGTTATATATGTGAAATTTTAAATAATGCAATATTTAAATTATATTTGAAAAAGCAATCTATATTCATATATACCTAAAAAATAGCAGAGTTACTACTATTCTAAATATAATTATATAACTTTCCTTTGGAATTTGATGACAAACCCAGGATGACGGATGAGAATAAGACAATAATAACTTGTCATAAGAAAGATAAGCATAATTGGTTATACTACAGAAAGCAACAGGATTGCGTACGAGAACATTACGCATCTGATTATTTTAGTACCATCTATGATTAAATATTCGTATATACCTAAATTGGGCTGTATGCACATGTTAGTTTTGAGTAATAGTCTTATACATAAACTCTACTTTAGACTAAATAATGATCCGTTGTGATACTGTACGCACCTGTACTTTAACAAGGTATTACAACTTAATTTGTACAAAAAAAACCTTAAAGACTAGTGCTATATATTAGTTATCGTTCACCATTTTGATCTTTATATATCATATCACTCAATAAGTCTCCGGTCTGACATATATATTGCAATTGCAACACTTTAGAGAAACCCATATGATATATGGAGAATAGCATTCTTTAAGTGACACATATCATAATTTAATGACATTCCACTTCCGATTTAATTGTTGAAGCGAGAGTTAGTGTGTAAAGCACAGTTACTCAATAGTGTCATTTGGTTGATCTACTGTGACAGCTGTTTAAGCATATCTTTCTGTTAAAATATATATTGCATTTGTTTTAAGAGAGTGCATACTTGAATTTGTGTGGTGTGAACATCCAAAGCGTTAAAATGAGTCTGTTCTAGAGAAATCCAGTATTATTGATTGCTGTGCGATCTTACAAAAATTGATGAAGCTGATAGCTTTAGGCTATCGTTCTGTTTAATGGCATCAAAAGTAGCGTTAAAATACATATATCACTCTTCAATTCACTCGTCCAATTTATAACATAAAATTTATTTTCTTAGCTAAGTTGGAGACTTATAGTGATGTGTTATATTCTATTCTTGTTTAATTAGATGTTAATGTGAGACTAAAATGCTGATACTTGCTTTTTGCTTTATTTAAAATTCCCTATTTTAGCCAAACTTTAAATCAAATCATAATAGGTACACTTTCCGGACCCAGCTGAGCCGGCTTGTTTGCAAGAGGGGTTGCTTGGTATATCTACATCTATTCTCGTATAGTTTCTGTTTTACTTATTTTAGAGTTTTAATTGTTTTTTTAAAAAATAGTTTTATATATTTTGGAACAGGTTAAATAAACAATTGTTTAAATAATAATCAACTGTTTAAATATATTTCAAAAAATAAATTATATTAACAACAATAATTTGATTATAGTCTATAGTCAGGGTGGCCCATTCAAAAATATATAAATAAAATTTGGTCATAAAAACAGTGAATTATAAGAAACAATTTTTAAAAATTTTTACAAGAATTTAATTCTTAATAACTTTTTTATTTAACGACTTTAAAAATAAGTATATAACAGTAACGAATAATATTTTCGGTTTAAAACAAAAATTTGTTTTTGTAGTTTAAAAAAAATGGGTTTTTTATTTTATAAGAGATTTTTAAATTCAAAAATATTGACTAAAAATCAAATAAATAAATATTTAAATTTTAAATTTATAAATTTGAAACTTAAATTATAAAAATATTTAAAGAAAGCTAGTTACTTTATTAAATATAAATGTATATTCAATGTTAATCATGAACTCAAATCATCATATCAATATCAAATCATTTTAACAGATTAAAAGAATATATATATATATATATATTTAAAAGCAAATTGCGAACTTTTTTGCATGCGATTAAAATTTAGTAAAGTTGAGCATTAAAATGATGATAATTTTTGACAATACAAAAAATTATTTTTTATAAAAATATTTATAAAAAACATGTACTCAAAAAAAGAAAACGCAAAATAATTAATTATTATATTACAAATAACAATAAAATATGTGTTAGAATTTGTATATCGCATGTTAAATCATTAATAAATTTTAAATACGTTAATTAATTAAAAATAAGCACCTCTGCTCCGAAATGTTGTAAAATAAATTAGAATCGTTTTATATATAAAATTACTTATTTTATTTCAATGCTATACATACATATATATATGTATGTATATAAAAAGAGTTATTAAAAAATTTCATACATCAGAGAATTGACTTTAATTGTTTGTCTCAAAATTGTCTCAAAATTCTATCATACGAGTAAAAAATACTAAATAAACACTTGAAAGCATTACTTACCAGTACATATCTTTAACTGAATTAAACTAAATTAAACTAAACTAAACTAAAATCAAATAAAAATCTAAACACTATATACTAGTTTTAGTAAAGCATTGTATGTACAAATGCTCTGCACTCTGCTAGCTGTACATATATACATATCTTGTATATATAAACATTTATGTATAATTCAAGTAAAGTTCACTAGGTTTGTTAGGACTATAAAATTCTCTAGAACTTCAATATATCAAATTGTATGTATTATGTATGTATCATTTAACAAATAGAAAGAAAAGAATATATTTAATGTTAAATATCTATAAAAAAAAATTATTTTATTAATATAAACTTCTTAAAATTTACGATTTAAGTATTTCAAATAATTTTCTTAAATGTGATGTTCTGTAAATATCGTCAAAGATAATGTTTAGTTAAGATTTGTTTAAGTACTTAAAAAAGTTATAAGCTAAGTTTTGTTAAGGAAATTCTAACTAAAAGAGCAAATATATAAAAAAAAAATATGATGTATACATTTTTGAAAATAGCATTTTGGATAATAAAATTAACTTCAAATAATTGTTTTTAAATGTATAAATGGTTTTTTTTGTTGTTAATCTAAAGTAGCTTGACTATTCTCAATATTAGAATCACATTCATCGATTTCAGCTTTCATTCTAGCCACTTCAGTTTTTTTTAACAGACGTTCTTCCATTTCTTCTTTCGTTTGACGTTTAAAGAAACCCATCTATATAATAATTTATTATTATAAATTTATTATTAATGAATAAATTATAATTTTTTTACCTTAGACAATATTCTGCTTAAAATAACTAAAAGTAATAAACCGCCAACTGCAGAGATAATGTAAATCCAAAGCGGTGTCTTCTTTATTGGCCTATAAACAATTACTGTTGATTCCATTGCTGAATTAATGTTAAGTATCCTAAAATGTTAATAAATGTTAATAATATAAACCCTTTTTAAATGATGTCAATAATATAAAAAGTATGTACCAGTAGACGAACTATTACAGCCCTACATATATAATTAATATATATTATATTATGTATATTATTTTATTCGTACTAGAAATTTGTTCAGAATGTAATTATATATATAAATATATATTTATATTATTTTTTAAAAAAATCTATTAATTAATTTATTAATTTTTTTAGTACAGTCTGTCTCTCTTTCCAGAGCAGAACCAACTTTGGCAGCTGCGGCTGTTACCGGAATTTAAGTGCAAATTAATTTTAATTTAATTTTAATTATTATTAAAATTAATTATTAAATTTCATAAAATTTTGTTTATTTTAATAATTATTTTATTTTGTGTTTTTATTTCATTTTAATTTAATTTTTAATCTTTATCGCTTTATTTTTAATTTGTATTGCGTTCGTTTTATTTTAATTTTTTGCTGTTATTTATATTTTATTTAGTTTTGTTTTTATTTTATTTATTTATAATATTATTTATAATTATTTATAATATTTTTTTTTTATTTTATTATGGTTTCACTTAATATTATTTTGTAATGAAGTTGATTTTTGCAGCTATTAATTTTTACTTTACTTTATTTTTATTTAATTTTATATATAAAATAATTATAGTTTATTATTTTATTTTGGGTTTTTATTTCATTTTAATATTATTTACTTTTATTTTTAATTTTTTATCTTTATTACATTATTTTTATCTTATTTTGTTTTCATTCTATTTTTATCTCATTGTTGCTTTACATGTTTTATTTGACTTTTATATTATTTATTATTATTTCTTTATTTTTATTTTATTTATATATATTTTTTTTGTTTCTGTTTTATTTATTTTTATTTTACTCGCCCGTTTGACGAATGGAGTAACATTAGCATGACTTTCTCAGCATTACCTGCCTAAATTAGGTTCTATACATTATAAAGAACAAATTATGCAATAAATAATGCCTCTACAAACAGAATAGTATTGAAATTTCACAATTAAAAAATAAAAATATAATTAATTAATTCAATTGTTCTACAGCTAGTTTATGGCAGCTGGTTAATTATATTTTTTTTATATATCTTTCTTTAAATCATGTGATTGCTTTTTCTGAAACTTTGATTATTTTGTATGATTTAGACTGCCGGTTTCAATCTTATTATGGCATATGTTGTAGTAGAAAGTGAGTTTATAACATGAAATGTCATGAAATTTTACATGTAGTCTTTTGAAGGATGGTACCTCATAAACGTCATATGGATTTGACAATGGCAACACCATCTGTGTATCAGTCACACGACTTATTGAGTGATGTGTTAATATTATTTTGACGATTTTGTCAGTGACAGTGGTCTTAAGGAAAGACTCTTAAAATTTAGCTATTTTTTTTTTATTATATTCTGCTCATATTGTCACTATATAACAGCTATTTTCACACACTTTGGTGTTATGAATTTGTTTATAATATTCATAAATTAATTTTTATTTAAATTTAATTCAAATTTCTCATATTCAATGTTTGTTTATAAAATATAGAAACCAGTTGACTGAAATTTTAAGAAAATATCAGTTTCTAAAATTTTTCTTAAACTTAAACTTAAAAACTTAATTGAATGAAATGAAATGCAAATCAAGGATACGCTTCAACTTACCAGTTCTGTGGGATTTTTGGTTTAAGTTCGGTTTCGGTTAATAATTTTATATATTTGAAATTATCGTTCATTACTTCCTTAGCAGCTGTAATATTCAAATCATAGGAGAGTTCGATTTTAAACACATCATCGGGTAAGAGGAGCGGTAAAACTATTTGCGATTCAGTACATATATTTGAAACTGTGTCTCTGCAACTTAAAGTAATAGTTTTATTATCGTCTTCTTGTAGCGTTTGCTCAAGTTCAGTGCCTTCTGTGAAATTGAACAAAGACACCTCAAACTCAGTTAACAATATAGTGCGAATGTTGTCCTTTGAAATCATAGCAACGCTAAAATTTTGAGCAAATGATAAATTCTGTAGTTCTTCATTTTGATATATAAAGGGCATCTTAAGCCACAACTGGAAATCGTTTATAGTATTAGGACCATTGTTTTGTAGCTAGATTTGTATAATATAAATTGATTATCTAGTTAAAAATGTAGTTCTCCTTAATTTTTTTTATTACTTGATATTACCGTTATTTCGTAAAATATTTTAGCGACCTTCTTAAATTTATCACAATCAATTGTTGTTTCGTTTGAATTTCTAAAATTAAAATGAATTCAGTATAAAATCGAAATTAATTCAAAATTAAATAAAAGTTAGTAGTATTGTAAACAAATTATATCTTACCCTTTTATATCAATTTCTACATATCGCTGCAGTTTGATATTATTCTCAATTAAATTATTATTGGGATTTATTTCACGTCCTGTGCTACGTGCCTCCACTTTTATATTTAATTTATTCACGGTGTAATCCAAAGTTTCCAGATCAAATGTTAATTCTAATGTTATTTGACCTGTAAATGCTTGTTGTGTGGATAAATAGCATATTAGATTTTCTTGGTTTTCCACATTTTCAACACAAAATGATGAAACTTTTGCAAAAGGTAAATATGGTATAGTAGAAACGATCACAGTAGCATCAAACGCCTTCTCACCCTCATTGCGGATTATATACTTTGTGAAAAGAGTATTTTTTCCATTTTGAAGTGTAAAATTTTTTCTAAAATAATTAAAAAAAAATAATATTAAACTATATTTCTGAAAAAAACAAGTGAAGACTTAAAAGAAGACTTATTTAATAGTACTGTTTTCTAATACATATATTAATGTCATTTTGGTAGTATTGTTAATAATATTTGAAAATTTTCTTCTTGAATCGTAACCATTCTGTGGTCTGACCAGTGGAAACATTTCTGAAAAACTCAGCCACTCCATGGAATTATAGAACTACTTGATATACTATATTAACATAAGCCAAAGTAAAGATTTACTAACTTATCCAGTCAGGTTCAAATAGACTCAGTGTATTAAAAAGAGAATATCATAATTTTTATAAGGTCATTTATTGGTTGATAGAAATGGATGTAAAAATGTCTCAATATATTTTTTATGCATGTTTAAAGATAAGCCACAGCAGAGTTATTCATTTTGGGGACGTACTCTTTTCCCCATACAACAAATGGAACAAAATTAAACCATCATTATTATTATAAGCATGCATTAATTAAACAAAAGCATCTTATTGATGCTTAATTGATTATTGATTGGTCAAAAAAATTCGAGTTAACACAATAGGTCACCTAAATAAAATCGCATAATATTCTTTTTATATTAATATACTGTTTTTGAAACAACAATTAATAGTTACTAGTTCATCTATCTTATAGTACTTTCCATAACATAACGTCTGACTTATGTATTTTATAAATATGTATATATTTCATATTTGAAAATTCTTCAAACTTACGGTATATTTTCTGAAGTGACGTTTAAATCAACATTACAAATAGTATTAATACATCCGTGTATATATCGAACAAATTGCCTTCTCATAGTTACTTCTAAGGGATCAAGAACTACGCAATCATCACAGAACTCTATAAACAAGGAACGAGAAGATTACATGAAAACTTAAAACTTTTACGTGTTTAAATTTAAATAAAATATTATTGAAGTAGCTAAAAAAATAGTATTAATTTATACTGACCTAAACCATCATGTTTTATACCATCGTTAACTAAACGATATGTCAAGACAATTGGTATAGCCTCAAAAACATCTTTAGATGAAAACCAAAGAGAGGCGTTAATGCTGGTACAACTTTTAGTTAAATAAACAGTTTTATTCGCTGACCACTTGTAGTTATCTCCATCCAAAATATTAACACGTCTAAATTTTTGATCAACTACCAAATCAATTTCCAATAACACTTTGTTAAGACTTTTTGATTTCGTTTTGAAGGCGTAACATATTTGAATTATTAGATTTTTATCTTCAACATTTATCCTTGCTCTTTCATTACGTATTTCAGCCATAATTTTAACAACCGGAAATGATTTATATACAAAAACTGCTTCGGCATTTGGAGCACCTATTGCAAGATCATTGTAACCATTATCATCTATATCAGCTCCATTCGATAAGCCATGTCCAAACATTCCATTTATATACATTTCTTGATTTAATTTTATTATCTGACTAGGTTTATTTCTTAATCCTGTTGGTCCACCTAAATATATTGCAACCGCTCCATATTTATTTGCAAATGGTGCACTTATTGCAACATCTTAAATTTACATGTAATTATAAATTTTTATATAATACTTAAAGTTATATATGTAATTTATATGATTACCATTATAGCCATCTAAATTTATGTCTCCAATACTGGACATTGTTGTACCAAACCTTCCCTCCGTTGAAAATGGGGATGTGAAAAATGTACGAGAGAACTTAAACTAGAAACATAAAGAAATATTTTTGTTTATTTTTTTGAATGTTAAATATTATATATTAAAAAAAAATGCAATTGCAATTTACACCTATTATTATTTAAATTTCAATTATACGAATATATAGTTATTCTGGAGAAGTTGCTATATTGTCTATATTTATATATATTTGTTTATTGAAACTCTCGTTACAAGGATTTATTTGAATATATTAACTTTGTTAAGATGATTAAAATTTAAGTTAAACCCATTTATAATTTTCTAAATATTTATTAAGTCTTCGGGGAACGAAATTCATGATGCACCATAGTATGATAATCGAAGAAAAGTTCCATTACCTTGATTTTCATATAATTTTGGTGCAATCTTTTCGGGGTTGATCATCTTTTCCAGGGTATTTGGTTGATTAGTCCATTATTTCTAAACCGTATATGTATATCGAAGTCGTGTTACCAATTATTATATTTTTAATATCATGTGTCGTTATTTTTGCCAACTAAAAATTTATTCAAGCCCTGTTTCAAGAAAGGTGTTGCGCAACTCTTAAATTTCTGAAATGTCGATTATTTCTAGATTGTATGTATATATAGAAGTCTTGTCACTCATCACCCACTAGCTAATCGTGTGTGAAAAGTTGATGGAAATTAGAACCTTATCATTGTCTTGAAAATAATAAATTTCAATCGAATACAAAATGGATATTAAGTTATTGATATTTTATATATATTATAAATAAATCATTAAAAATCGACTTCAATAATTGTTTCCAGGATTAGAAAAGTGGAACTTCCAGAATTATACTCACGTTGGCATAAGTATAAGCATAGAAGTGTGATTTAACATTGTGAACTTCGAAGTATAAATAAAGATTTTAAAACCTATAAACCATTTTATATTATTTTTTGTTCACGGTATTATAAATTATAATAAAAATAAATATTTTATTAATATTAATTTAATGTAATTATATCAATTTGGATTAGCCAGTTAGTTGTTTTTTATTAATTTCAATCTTGTATAATGGGAGTTTTTTTTTGCCACATATTATTTGTAAAAAGACTTTCAGAAAAGCCCACCATGCTAATATGATATTTTGTAAATGTTGCTTTACATTTTTGTTAAAGAATGTACACTTTTCATTCAATCAACAGGGAAATAACATTAAACATATACCAACAACATAAAAATGTTAATACCTATAATTTGGCTCTGTTAAAGAATAAGCTTGTCCACTGCAATATAAATATATTCTGTTAATTGTTTTCTCAGAATACTGTTAAACATAATATTCAATAACATTGCATATAAGTATGCATTGATTGTGTGCTTTTGTTTTTAGGTATACATTTGGGTTTTGTTATTTATATATTATATCAAAAAAATAATGAATGAACTGTACTATGTTTAACATGAAATAATAACAAAAAAAAAAAAACAATTACAATAACTATTTGTATGTTAAAGATTATTTGTTGGTTTGCAGTTTAAGAAAATAACTGTTATAATTTTATTAATAATTTAGTTATTCGCGTTGATGGCTGGTGTTTGGTTGCATTGAAGCGGTAATCAATCAATTTTTCTCGAGTTCAAATTACAAATTACAATTTTTTTTAAAAAAGTGTATTGAATAAACTATAATATAAAGATAATATAAAGATAATAAAAATAATATAATATAATGCGAAAGTTTCAGTTAATTACAAAATCTACAAGGATCACTAGTAAAATAATAAAATAGTATTGATTTAAATAAAAAAATGTAAGTTATATATACATAAATAATACCGTACATAAAATACATTATCCACAACTATAAAATTATTATAATAAATGATTTTTTAATTACAATAAAAATAATATACGTGTGTGTATATACAAAATCTATATTAAAAGTGCTATACTTATTAACCAAAGTATTTATTTATATATCTTTAATGAATTACATATAAATGGGTATTAATTCAATTATATTTAAATGTTTTTTATACAACAGAATTTTCGAAATAAGTAATATTTTAGTAGCTTACACCGTAAAAAATAACAGAAAATTAACACGACGATCGAAGCAGCAGCAGCAAGTATAGGAAAAATTGGGTAAGTCAAATTTTTTATAAATTTTGTTTTTGTCTTCTATACTCTCGAAATTATTTTTTTATGTTAAGGAAACCATTATGACTACTCTCTCCAATATATATATATTAATTTTAATATTACTCATAATTTACTCATAATTCGTACACATTGTAAAGTAATAAATGTAAAGAAAAAAGTGTTCACATCACAAAGTATTCCCGTAAGTCGGAGTTTTGAAGCGAGCACTGTACTTATAATATTTTTATATTTTATATGAACTTGAATAAGCATCTAAAAATATTTATGAATTGAGTCAAGATGTTGTTATAATTAATATATAGCAAATTATATTAAGTATATAAGCTGTTTGCTCGATTCAATGCAAATATTGTGGTTATAATATGCAATTATCTGAAGTTGCTTTAAAAATCGGAACCTCTTTGCGAGATTTTCCTCTCAAACTATAGAAAGTTATAATTCGTAGAAGTTCACAAAATTCACAAATATAAATTCACAAAGTACATTTCTTCTATTGAACTTTGTTCTATTGAGAAAAAAAACATATTTATATATCTGTTGTCATATCATTTGGGTTGAAAAATATCAAAGTTCAATATACGTGTTCGTAGTAAATAATTCCCATGTTTACCATTAACATTACCACTACTCAGATAAAGTAAATTGTTTTTTAACTACAGATGTTCGAGTAATAACTTTTGTTTCCATATTATTATTAGCCGTACTCCAACAGGAGCTTAGATTTATTACATATAATCTCCAAATATTTCTATCTCTAACAATACAACGTAATTCATTAAAACATATGCCGGTTTCATTTGTTACCGTTCTTCTTCATGTGTTACGTGGTCTTTCTCTGCGTCTGTTGGCTTTGGGGTTCCATTAAAGTGTTCCGTGGCATATTTCATTATACAGCTTTCGAAAAAAATGGCCAAGCTAACTATATTTCCGACGCTTAACTTGTTTGTTGATATCTTCTTGATTTATTCGTTTAAGTAGTTCCATATTTGATATCCTACGTGGCCTTCAAATTATCAAATTATTACGCAGCCACCTGTTAATAAAACTTTGAAATTTTCTTTGTATTTAACTGTTGATCAACAAAGTTTCAGATTCATATAATGAACGAATTTTACACAGGCTTTATAGACACGAGTTTTTATTTGAAGAGATATTTCATTTAAATTCCATAAGCTACGAAGATTACTGCACGCTATTCTGACTTTTGGTATACTGCTATTCACATCTCTTACTGCATCTCCATATGTATTAACTTAGCTACTTAAATAACAGAACTCATCGACGTATCCAATGGATCTGTCCTTAATTGTAGAGGAGATGTTGATGTACTCTTGACGATGCATTATTTGGTTTTAGCAAAATTACCATGTAGTCCAAGTTTATGTACGATATTTACTAGATCATTAATTTTTGCTTGTAGATGCATTAAGAATAATTACAAATATTAATAGCGAAAGTTTGCACCCTTGCTTTATACCAGTGCGCGTGAAGAAACTGTTGCTTACGTTGCCGTTGTGTAGGATCCGAGCACTGGTCTCATGATATGGAGCGCGAATTAAATTTACTATTTTTTTAGGCGTTCCTATGTATCGTAACGCTGCGCATATATAAATACAAAAAGGAGCGAGCTATTAAGTTAGTTGCATTGTTCTATTATTAATCTCATTGATGTGATCTAGCTTGTTCTTTCCACAATTTTTGATCTAGTGGCAGGAGGACACGATTTAACAGGCATTAGAGATATTCCTATCCAATTATTGTAGTCCTTGTCGCCATTTATTGGAATCTTAATTATAAAGCTTTGCTTGCACTCTTGATGTATTTTTTCAATGCGCCAGATCTCTTTAAACAAATTCAACAAATTATTAGTCATAGCATTCACACCTGCTTTAAAGAACTTCGCTGGTATATTATACGATCCGTTAGACTTCTCATTTTTCAGTTGCGTTATAGCTTGTCATCGAGTGCCGACTTGGTGAAAAGATAACCAATGCGACATCGTCTGAGATATTATCTGATAATTGGTTCAAGGATTCTTGAAAGTGTTCGTGCTAGCGCGAAAGTTTTTCTCCTTCTTCTGTTGTTAGGAGCTCGCCTAACTTATCAAAAGCAGTTTTCAAATCACTACATCAGCTTTAGAAGCGAAATTCTTTATGAAAGCACGTTTATCATTTCTGGCCTCATGTTTAACATCTTCAACCAAATTTAGGTATCCCCACTGTTAAATAATTTATTGGTTTCATAGGTTTTCGAAATTAATGTATAGAGTGTTTAATATTTAAAATTTAAAAATTGTATTCAGAAAATTTTTGAGAATGTAATTATTTAAAAGTAGTAGTAATAAGATAGTAAATAGTAGCTACTTACCCTGCCTTTATTTAAGAAAACATAAACTCCACCAACATCTGTTAAATCGTTAAGTGAATGCAAAGGAGCTGATATCAAAATGTCATCTAATCCATCACCTGTTATATCCACAGCAAGAACAGTATAACCGAAAAATTCTCCATATTGCATGCCCGAAAATTCTGCAGTTTTGTTAATACTATATGGCTCAATGTAATCGAATAAAAAAGCCTGCCAAGCACTTATTATAAGACATGATTTCCAATAACAATAATGCACTTACCGCACCCAGTTGTGAATGTGCATCTCTGGAATATACATCTCCATGTGGTAAGGTAATAACATATAAAAGTTTTTTATTTAAGTGGTCGTCTTTATCGAAGTAGCCGGAAGCCACAGCATAACCGCCATTAGCATTTGCGTCGCTATTTATTTCAGAAATTGTAACTATCCCATTAATTTTATTATAACGTATTACAGATCCTTTCATATTATTACACATTAAACATTATTGAGAGAATTACATTGAATTGAGATTTTACTTACCTCTCCACTCATTAGTGCCTGGTGCGCCAAATAAAAACTCTTTATTGTTTGGTGTAATATTAATACTGAACCCTTGTTGTCCCAATTGATAGAAATATACACCAGTTGCATTAACCTGTTTTACTTGCAAATTTTCTATATATTTATAAATAAAAAAAATAAGCTATTTTTGGTATGATTAAATATTTTAAATATTTAATATTATTACTGTTGTCCCTTAGAAATGCAAATTCTTTAACGTTCTTTGGTTTATTCGACAATGTGTCTGGAGTCCAATAACAAATGCCATGCATGTACGGCTCAAGTCCCATTATATCGACTTTGCCCGCGTATCCTGGAGCACAAACAATTAATTGATCGGTTTCCTTTGGTCCACCAGCCATTGAAGCACCCAACCATTGATGAGTTTTATTATATTTACTTAAACCATTGGGTGTAATTTCATTTCCTTTACTATCAAATATAAATGGTCTACAATTAGGGTCTTTGCCGCTATTAGCACATTTATATATAGCACCAGTTTCATCGATTAAGGATTGTGTAATTATAGTAGACTGAGCACGTGGCGCTCCAATTAATATACTAAAATACACAAGATCACTTTAAAAATTTGATGAAAGTACACTTTAAAAATATATTCGATGGAGAGGGATTTCGTTCCATGAGGGATTTGAATTCAAGTGTTATATGAGAGAATGGTTTTGAAGTATTTTATATAGAAATTTATATAGTAAATAAAGAAAAAAGACTAATAAAGATTTATATATTTAATAAACGAGGTTCTTCAAAGATTTTAAGCAAAAAAAAATGTGTTAGAATGAAAATGACTACTGATGTTGAAAAAATCGTTGAACAGAATAAGAATATTTACCTTTGTTCCCTCAAAACTATTGTATATCCAAAATATGAACTTCTGGTTTGCTCGATTATTGTTGTAAGTCGCGGATCCTCAATTTTTAAGCTAGGAATTGGAGATAAGTTAAAGGCACATGTCCAAATACTGACCAAATGAAGTATGAAAAATGAAGCAAATAAATTAGTTTTGTGAAACATAACGCAATTGTTTAAGTCGATCTTTTAAAACACACTGAACTTGAAATAGTTAATTGCTCTTTAAATTGTTAGCACCCTACATACTAATTGAATGCATATATTTACATTAAGAGTATCGTAATGCGAATTATATTAAAAATAATATATCTAAATAAATCGCAAAATATTATATATCTTTATTGTCAATATAGAAAATATTTGAACTGGATATTCATTTGGGACTATCGGGTTTAGATTGCTTTAAATTTTGTTCTTATTTTAAAACATGTAAAGAATATTCTTTATATAAAGAAAAAATAGAATAAAATAAATACTTCATTTATTAGTAAAAATTTTGTATTTAAAGTTTCTTACTAATTATTTTCAATGATTGAACTTTATATAAAATTTGAACTGCATAATATGGTAAAATGTTCACTTAATTGGAGTAGATATTAAATAAAATAAATATATACGTTGATATGGAGAAAAAAAAAGATATGTTAAATATATTATTTGATATATTTAGATATTAAAATTAATTATTTTTATCAGAAATCTGTATATTTTTTATAGTCAAACAATATTGAGAAACTAATAAAATTTTTATACCTAGTGTAAGATATCTTGAAGTCGTAGTCAAAAATAAAATTTCTTTTTGTTATTTTACTCTTAGGGCGATGCTTAAAAAAATCTTATTTTTAAATATTAAATCATTTTCTGCATAATAATGTATATATATTCACTTCTTATCACCAAATAATATACTCGCTACATACTAGTAGTAAAGAATTGCGTAAAGAAAAGGTTTAATGCGTGACTAATTTTAATAATAAAATTGATGAAGTTTTCTTTTCACAAAAAATAAAAAAAAATTATATGAATCGGTTTTTATTCATATTAATTTATTATATCATATAAGCCTATATAATATACAAGATGTTTCTTATTAAAGAAAAGAGAATTTTCGGTCCAAGATCAAAAAAAAATTAGTGTTAGTGAAGAGTCTATTTTCAATATATTATATATCGACATACAGTGTGTTTAAAGAAACTCTACCCAATGAAAATCTATAGGCTATAAATATTTAAAAATTTTTATGCCTGTAGTTATCTCTTACAACTTCAATTTATGGTCGTTCAATTCAACTTTATAAACCCTTTTTTTTGCGAGTGATAAACTAACTTGCAGACTATGGCATTTATTGTCATCTGGAGAAGATTTCTATGAAATTTTTTAAATCATTATTGAAGAACTTATTATATTTTAAATAAATTTTGCAAACTGGCAATTAGTTGCTAAATTTTTACAAACATTTTATTTTGGTTGGTGCATTGAAATGATAAGATAAGTTTTTTAAAGCGGCGCCATCTATTGTCCATTGATTATAGATCAGGGCTGTCCATACCAGATATGACGACGAGCCCATACCAATCACTGTACAGATTAGGGGGCCACAAAAACAAAGACATATGTTACATAAATTTAATTTTATTAATTCATCAATTTAAATTTATTTACTTAGTATACCATAAAAATAAAATAATGTGGTTTTACGACTACACCAAAAGTTCTCGTAATTGCAGTAGATGAAAAATATGTCGGGGGCCACACAAACATTGCCGCGAGCCGCATGTGTCCAGCGAGCCGTGCTTTGGACTGCCCTGTTTTAAATCAAGTATACTTATTCCTTCTTATCAATGTATATCGGCTAAGATACCAGTTATTTTTATATTTATAAATAAATTGTTGTTGAAATACACATAACCATGTACGTATATTATTATTTCATACTACATTAGGAGGTTAAGGACTCAACAAAAGTTTTCTAATTCGTTACATGATTTGCCAGTGATGTACTGTTTTCCTCTAGGTCATTCTAGGTCTACTTGTGCATCGTGTTCCTTAAGGGTTTCTGGTTAGCGCGGTGTATGTGATGCCATCATATATTTACATATATTACATATGTTCTATTCACCCATATATTCGCTTTCGTATATCATCATTTATATTAATTTGGCATGTGAGCCTCCATAATTCTGCACGCTAAAAAGCTGTTCCGTCCTTTGACTATAAAATAACACTCCTTTGTAAAATACAGCTAAGGCTACTGATAGGTAACCTGATAAGTAATCTAAACCTATGTCACCATATAAACTAGATTAAATATATATAAAACAGATTAAAATCAATTGACGAACATCGTATTCTCTGATTATAAAAACGTTATATATATTTATTCACAAATAATTAAATTAAAATTCACAAAGTATATACGAATAAAAAAAAAAAGAAAGAAACTGAGATTGGAATGATCGTCGATTATCACCACGACCGCTAATGTAAATGTCTACGTCGAATAAGTTATAGAAGGTGCTCGAAAGTTGTAGGAAATCAAACATTTTATTAAGAAAAATTAAAAGTAAAGATGGTTATAAAATTCTGCACTATATCACAATCCTTTCCCTAACCGTGAGAGAATGAGATACATCACTACATTCCAATCACTCGATAAATGAATGAAATTTTCACAGATTTGCGTTAATCGTGTCCAAATACTCTCAGTGGTTGCCAAAATAATCAAATTCTTGTAATTTTTTTTATTTTTTTAATAAAATTAAAATTAAACTAAAAAAATTGCAATAACTGTCAATTAAGTGCGTTATCGGGCCACTGCAATCACCCGAGTGGATACAGCCAGATTTTTTTCTGATGGGCTTATTGAAGTGAGAGGTTTATACCAATAACGCAAGACCAACATCCACCAAAAAATAGCCATTATAGCAACCAAAACATTAGAAAATATAATTGATAATGCCCAAAATCATGCACTTTACGACAATCGATCTAAAAGAGTGTCTTCAAAAAGGGTCTTCAAAAAGTCATGTCTCTTAAAAGTCTAGTTAAATGATATTTAAATGGAAAAACAAATAAAGTTTTTTTTTCACTTCCATTTTTTGTTAATTATATGGATCGAACTAATATAGCCAACCCTGTGTAACCCTAAATTTTAAATTATATTCATTATCATTAGTAAATTATATTATTTGTATTATATTTTGAGAATATCTTACTTTTTAAAATTCCTTAGCAAAATTTTAATATATTGTTACATAATATGCTATATATAAGTATCATGAATAACAGGAGTAGCTTAATGTGGCAACGCGAAGCAAACTATTTCTACACAGATGAAAGAACACCTATTCTTTATAGAGTGAGTGCTCGAAGCTTGCAATTATAAAAGTGGACTCGCATTATAAAGTCGTGTTTTGGCGGATTTGAATAAATAATTAAATAGAGCCTATAAAAAAAATATAGATTCTAAAACTATGTGTTTAGTTATGTTCATAATGTTCAGTGTTATCGTTTAAAGCGTTAAAATCTTTTATATGTTTATAAATCTAGTTTACATCTTTCACTTAGTAATGTAAATATATTCTTCTTACTAATGAGCTTCAAAATATTTTTGAACCTGAACTAATTGCTTAACTTTTTAAATTCATATTATATGAAAACAAAACATTCTAAAAACTTATCTTTAAAAGTGTCAGCTCAAGACCTCTCCGAAAAGAGCTTTATAAAAGGTTGCAGATGTTTACAAACTCTTCAAGTTTCATATGGAACACAATAGACTAATAAATGTAAGTAGATCGCTTTGACCTTACCTAACGAAAATGTTATCAATAAATAAACAAAATTTACTTAATTATAAAAAATATTTAAATTTATTAAATATATTTTAATACTCGTTTTCTATTTTTATGTATAAAATTTTACAAAGTTTTTAAGTTCTTAAAATTTAATTGTAAACTTACGCTAAGCCAAATAGTGAACAAACAAGTCTTTTCTTACAAAAATCATTGAATATTTATATATGTATTATTTTTACATACTCATATATATACTGATTTCTATATATAATATATTCATGGCAGCTTTGCTTAAAACTATTTTTTTAATTAACACATTTAATGGAAATCGAAGACTATTCAAAAATAAATAATAGATATAGAGAACAACTTAACTGCAAAGTAGTTACATTTGGTATCATCATTGCTTAAATAAGACTAAAAACACTTTAAAATACTTCTAAAAATTAAAATAAAATAAAATAAAATAAAAAATTATAAATACTCGCTTAAAATACATCAACTTTAAAAGTTTGTGATGGTTTTGTTTTAAAATTAAACTTTAATACTGCAAGTCCCTTGGATGCAGTTAACAGCGCGTCAGAAATTATTTACAGAATAAAGACACACACAGCAGCAAAACAGAAAAGTCTTGCCAATGGGTCCGGCCACATTAGTTTCTTTCAGTGTTAAGATTTTCTGCTTCTGGTTCAACATCAGCACCAGCTTGATTTTGATTAACCAATTTATCCATTTCATCTCTCGTGGATCGTTTGAAGAAACCATACTAAAAAATGACAAAATAAAACAAAAGTCATTTCACATATTCTCTGCTTTAAATATCGATTAATCTATTCTACTCACTCTATACATAAGATATGTCATGAGAGCTAATAACAGCAATCCACCGATTACTGCCAAGATTATCACCCAAATAGGTGTGCTATAAAGTTGATATTTCGATATAACATTGTATTCAATTTTTTTAACAACTGATATTGATTTTCCATCGCTGTCTCCCACTCTTGCAATATCCAGTCCAATGTGTATAACAAAATAATCCCATGGTTCAATTAAAATTTGATTAACTTCTTTGAGATCGA